AGGGAAAGAAGACGTATAAGAGGCAGGAAAGGAGAGAGGGAGGGAATGACAAGGGAGGGAGGCGAAGAAAGGGAGAGGAGGAATGGATAGATTAGGACACTTTTGCTTCTGAATGAGTTCAGTTCAGTTCGATTCGAAGGATTAGGGTATGTTCACACTGGGTCCTTTTTTGACCTAATGTGGCCGCAACAGTGGTGCAGATACAGTCAAGTTCTTTTTGTGAGTATGGCCCCCTCTAAGGAGTAAGGCGATTCGGGTTCGGGCAGAGGGAGAGGAGTCCTTTGACTGTTGTCGAGGAAAGCGGAAGGAAGGAATGCAAGGGGAAGTAGTAGAAGGAACAGAAGGAGAAAAGAGGGGAAAGGAAGCAAAAGCCAAGGGAGGGAAAGGAGAGGAGAGGAGAGGAAATGAATGTGGCGGGGTTCTGTGTGTGCGTCGCCGTGGAAAGGAGAAGAGGAAGAGAAGGGAGGGTAGAGAAGAAGGAAGAGAGGGAAGGGGAAAGGAGAAGGAAGAGAGGGGAGGGGACAGGAGAAGGAAGAGAGGGGAGGGGAAAGGAGAAGGAAGGGAGAACGGAAAGAAACGCAAGAAAGGGGGTGGAAATGCAAGATAGGGGAAGGAAGGAAGGAGAGAGGAGTATGCATGGTGGGAACAGGGTCTCAAGACAAGGAGATCGGGGGGGTCTGTGTGTGTCGCTGGGAAAAGCAGAAGGAAGAACCGAAAGGGCGAAGGAAAAGCAAGGGTACAAAGAAAAGAAGGCAAGCAAAGGAAGTAAGTATACAGTAAGAAGAAAGAAAAAGGAAGGAAAGAGAAAGGTGTCCTTCGGGACATCCGCTAAAATTCGAACGATACAGAGAAGGGTGAATTAGCAAATGGCCCCTGCGCAAGGATGGCACCCATAAATCGAGAAATGGTGCCCACCCCCGGCCCCCCCAACAAAAGGAAAGTAAAAGGACAGAAGGAAGGACAAGGAAGGAAGGAAGGAAAGAAAAAGAAGGAAACAAAAGGGAGGGAGGGAGGGAGGAAAGAAAAGGAAACAAAGGGGGAGGAAGGAAGGAAGGAAGAAAACCGGACGAAGGACGGGGGGGACAGAAAGGAGGGGGAAGGAAAAAAAGAGGGGTCGGAAGGAGGGGGAAGGAAGAAAAGAGGGGTAAGAATGGAAAAGGAAGGAAGAAGGAAGGAAGGAAGGAAGGAAGGAAGGAAGAAGGAAGGAAGGAAGGAAGGATGAGGAAGGAAAGGGAAGGAGGGGAAGAAAAGCAAAGGAGGGAGAAAGAAATGGGAGAGAGGAATGGAAAGGGGGGGCGGGAGGGGAGGAGAAGTAAGAAAGCGGAGGAAAAAAAGAGAAAAGGAAGGAAAAGGGAAGGGGGGGA